GAGCGGTTTGCTAGAGCTGTGGAATGGAGAGATGAATTCAAGTCTGCTCCTCAGCTGTTCGGTGAGAATGATACAGAAACTGAACTGCTATGAGCAGGTAAGAGTCTGAAATAAATACGTTAGCTCATAGCAAGGCCCGTTTGAAGGGTGAGTGGCACATAAATTATTTCAGACTGGCCAAGATCAGAGGAAGAGTCACCTGTGACTCTTACGCAGACCCCAGCGCAACGAAAACAGCCTGGTACAGGCTGCCAAACCAGCTCAGCTATGAATTCATCAAGTGCTCAGTAATGACCAGCAAACTACAATAAACTGGAACGTTACATCGAATCATTTGCAAGGTGCGCTGGGATAAGGGCACGACCAGGAGAGTTAACATCTCGATCTGCTGGGCAGTTAAATCACCTTCTAGCAGTGGGGACTGGACTGAGCTCCAAGTTGGCAGGTACAGAGACTAAATTCTGCTCTAACTCTTAAAAGAGAGAGGTGGCTTGAAGTAGCAAGGAGAGGAAGGTAGATGTTTAAAACAAAATTGCTAATGCAAATGGTACTGGGGTTAACACCCAGGTAAAATCTTGTCTGGCTGAGCTGTCCTTAGCCACTGAAGCACGAACATGAAATAAGTAGCAACTCTTGTGTACGAAGCAAGAGGGAGATGCGTCCTGAGGGACTAGCTCTCAAAAAAGACCTGCCCTCGGCAACGGAGGGTACAGCCTTCCAAGTTGAGGGCTGCGTCCTGCCATTGCTCCACAAAACAGGAACACTGGCTGTTCAAATGGCTACACTTGCTTCTGTGACAGGCACTGCTGCAGAGCTGGCGTGTAAAAGGCTGGCTGAAAACTGATGCTACGAAAAGCCATCAGTTAAATAGCTAAACAGTGGGCATAGAATCTTAGAGGAAACAAGTTTCTTTTTCTACCTACCAATGCAAAAATATTTGAGCCTCTGCCTGGCTCTTTCCCCTCTACATCAACAGCAGGTCCTGTCTTGGGAGGGCTTACGCCATTGTACAAGCAGAGAGCTACTGTGCTGCTTGCAATTCAAGTAGCAGGATTGCTATGGAAGTGGTTTATTCTGCCAGCACACCTGCAGGTGCTCACCCTGGGGCAGGAACATGAACTTGGCAATGCCGAGCAGCCAGCCTCTATTCCATCAGATACACCGAAAGGAAGATAAAAAAATCACTGTTACACATAGTTCAGCTTTTGCTCCCATCTGCCTTCACTGCCCAAACGGGATAAAAACTGCCATCATTTTCACAGCATCCCCGCCCGCCGCCACCTTCGATTCATGTGCAAGAACATAAGGACAGGCAAAGATTTTAGATCTGTTTATTCAGATACAAATTGAAAGCAGATGAATGGAGCACAGCCCCACTTCCTCTGCTGCCTCTTCCCCTAACTACAAGAGAGAAGAGGAGAAGCAGGCAGAAAGCAGCAAATAATAATTTAGTGACAGAAGCATTGTGGTTCCCAGTTCAAACCTCTGCTTTTGAATAGCACAGGGACAGTTAGAGCATCAGTAGGTCAGTCGTGGGGGAAATAGGTCATTTCTAGGCAGCTCTCAGCACCCTCGGGCATAAAAGCATCAACTGACAGGTTCCAATCCTCAACGGACAAAACAAAGCCACATAAACAGGTTTGCAGTCTGCAGCATGCACTACGGAAACTACATCAGCAACTTCTGCTGCAGTTTGCGGTAAGACGACTCTCCTCCATGGGTTACCCTTCTCCGGATTCCGTGCAGAGAAGGGCCCTGGGCAGAGCTATCATCCAAAAGTAGCTACAATTTCCAGTATAATTGGACCTTCTCAAGGCATCCTTGTCTTCATGGCCCTCTTTGGGATGACTACTTGAAAGGGGTTTCCCCAGGTTAGCTCCTACAGTACCTCTGTGCGTGCTCTGCAGGGAGGGGGAGCCAGCAGAAGAAAAAAGAAAAGTACTGACGCAGCCAGGAAGCCTGCTCGACCTTCAGGCACCTTTTCCGATTTGGAGAGGGAACATCTACCAGGAGTAGGTGGAGGAACTGCTGAACAACCCATTGAGAATACCTTGAGAAATTTGATAGCTCACATTTTTGGTACCAAGAGGATTAATTCCCTGGACACCATGCCAGCACACGACTGCCAGATCTCAGTTGTCCTGTTTCACCTCTCCCAACGTGTGTGCTCCCCCCCCCCCCCCCCCCATACCAGGGCTATGGAATCCAGTTCTCTGTTCGAAGCAGCTTTCCTGAAGATACTTGCTGTAGAGATCAATCCATCGTAGAAGCACAATGCTTTATTGACTCACCGAGCAAGAGCAGACACATTTTCTACTCTCCTTCCCGTCTTTCTGCTGTTGTTTAACCTGAGATTGAGATGGTTCTCCCCAGCAGCATGGGTCCACTCCACACTTTCCCAGCCAGCCTTTCGCTTATTGAATTAACCAGTCACTTATAAGTTCCCTCAACTTCCTTCTCATAGGATGTGAGCAGGAGAGGGGTACTACACCTGCGAGGAAGCGCCGTGTACCGCAAAGCACGAACAGGAGTTGGACTGTAGGAGGCCCGGCCTCTTGGACTCCAGGGGCTTCACAGCCATCTCGTTGGGATGTGTCTGCTGTTCATTTGCTTTGTGAGCTGCAGTCCGAGTTGGCCAGCGAGCAGAGAAGCTGCTAAAGGAATTAACTGAACATTTCACCTGCTAAATGACGGGCGGCTCTAGTTAAGCTGCAGAGGGGAGTCCTCACGTAAGGATTTAGCGCTCTAACCATTCCTGTGCCTCCCCCAGGCCAACCGACCTGCCGATGTAACAGATGGGCTTTGAACTCCCGAGCACCACTGCATCCACTTCCAGCAACTGTTTTCTGCTGAGAAATTCCAACTTGGGCAGTGGGGCTGTAAGACCCACTTGGTTCTTCATCCCAACGCAGATAACGCGCGCTCTGCTCCGAGGCTGCACAGAATGCCAGGATGGACAAGAGGCAGGGATGGCAGCAAGCGCCTATGAAAACCGGTAGCCCCAGACTCTCGAAGGAGCTTCCCTCCCCCCCCTTCTCCCCACACATAACACAGATTTGCAGAGTCAGTTTCCTATTTGATTTCAAAGGGACAGGATTTCAAAGTCTTCATCTTCCGAGTCAAAGAACCTTTCCAATCTGTCAGCGTCAGAGGAGTCTGCAAGAGAAAAAGAAAGCACTATCTCCGCAGGACGCACTGACCGCTCGGCATCAGTGCGACCAGCAGCTGGAGGGCAGCTGAATTTGAGTGTCAGGTGCCCACAAGTTCCAAAAGACTCAGTGACGTACCTGAGTGAGGGATGAGAACGCGTCAGTAGCATGGAAAATGCCCAGGAGAGAACTACGTGGTGCGCAGAAGGTGCGCCACATTTCACAGATCCCAAACACAGCCCTGGTGCAGCGCAACTCTGTTTTGTACAACCTTCCTGTGCAGCAGCTCTGCATTAGCAGAGTGTTCTGCCTCAAGAGGTTCAAGACAGGAGAACTTGCCCAGGTCTGAACTAACATCCACAAAGATTTCTGGCCCAAGTGAGCGAGTGATACAGAGTATTTCCCCCCACACACACCATGTATTAGCGACTTGTTTGCTGCTGTAGCTGCCTCTGATCCAACTACTGGGGAATGTAATTACAAGGAGAGGTAGTGTACTTGATCCCTGCTGTCCATCCTTCCAACTCGAGGCTAAGGAGGGAGCACATACCTAAAGGGGAAGCAACTTTACCATAGGGGAAATTCAGGCGAGAACATACGGGCAAACCCTAAAAGAGAAACCTGCATTAACTCCGGCTTCAAGAAAGCGCACACCGGATTTGGCAGAACAGGCAGCCGAAAGCTAAACCGCAGTAACTGATGGTTGGAGACAGCAGAAAAGCACATGGACGCAAGGCTGCAGACCCCCCCCCCCAACATTTTGTGACAAGCTTTAATCCCATAGTAGCATGTGCAAATGCCTGGTGTCACTGTTCTTGATCAAACTGCAGCGCCCATGGGTCCTGGCAGCACAACTTCCAGAGAAGCTCCTCAGAGGAGCAGCTCCCTCCACTTTTGTGACACAGCAGAGTACCCAACTGTCTGGGGAAAATAAAAACAAGGGGCTGGACATTGATGAGAGTATGATTAATCCTTCTAGTGAGGGGTAGGTAAGAGAAACAGAGCGGCCATAGCAGATGGGAGAGGCTCCACAAGCTAGGGAAGAGGGAGAAGGACAAGGAGCCCATTACAAAAACGTTTTTAAGAGTGAGAAAGGCAGCAGTTAGGGACAAGTTAATTCAGGCAAGGATTAACTGACAATTTAAGGGAATTATTCTTACAGGAAAGGACAGTGAGATAAGGACAGCTTTGAACGTTCACGCTAAGAGAGAGAGATAGCAAAGAAGCAGAGGGTGCAGGAGGCCAGTGACAGGACGCAGCCCAAGGCCTGGTGGCAGGGTAGGTTTGTCCACGCAGACTCGCTCCTCTTGGCAGCAGTCAGCAGCTCTATCTCCTGCCATGTTTGTGCACGTTACTAACACGATAAGTAGAGCCTGACAGCCAAGATACAGCCCAGCGCTTGTTCCTTCTTGCGTCGGTAGTGGTACATGCCCAGGGAAGGAGTGCTTTACACTGGGACTAAGTTTGACCAGCCCCGTCTTTGAGCGTTTTCATTACCTAGAAACTCAGTTTTCAGCCTTTTCAATGGACCCTTTTGATTCCTCCAAAAATCACAGATTCACATTGCTGTGACAGCCTACAAACTTGTTTTTCCTTCCCCTCAGTCATCATCACCATTCAGAGACTCATTCTAAAAATCATCCTGAGACACTAGTCGAAAGCCAAAGAACTAGATCAATTGACCTAAGAGCTCCAGATCAAACTCCAGGTGGAATGGGAACATGCTAGAAGTCACCGTGCAATTCCACACAATTTCCAGAAAACCGAAGGGACTGGCTCCCCCTTAGCTCTGCCTCCCTGCATGGCCTCACCTGGTGTGAGATTCAGGACGTCGGGGTTGGAGAAATGCGACGGCTGGCGTTCGACCAGTTCGAACATTGGCAGCGCTCCTCTTACCAGGGACAGCTGTGAAACAAGAGCAGAGCCATGAGAACCAACAGCTCTGCACTCAGGGTGCTCCGGGTCTTTAAGGGGTAATAATGATCTGTTGGGACATCAGTGCAGCTGAAAAAAATGTTTCTCAAATCTCTGACTCGCATCAGCAGCGGAATTTCAGAGCTATGCTCTTTATAGTAGTTTAATAAGCTATTTTCATATGCTTTAAAATGGGATCATGCTCTCTGTGGAGCGGTTTGGAAACATGACAATACCCTGTATTCCTTTCCCGGTAATATAAACACAAACCTTTTTGATTTGCTGGCACCAATCGTTAAAGTCCTCCTCAGTGTTGCAGAAGAAGCCCTGAAAAAAACCCAACAATTTATCTTTATATATTTTAGACTGATCATTTCAGTCATAAGGCCTTGTATTAATGCCAAGCACCACGACTGCGAGCTGTTACAACACCCAACTGCCGTGCTTTTAAACTGTGGCTGCCCTGCCCTGTTACACTGAACACTCCCCAAAGGCTTGATGTGACCAGACCATCCAAATGCTGGAATCAGCAGTGTAACGGTCTGCTCTACGGCAGAAGGAACAACCCACATGGAAACAAAAGGCAGCAGGCATCTTGGGTTCAACAGAAAACAAGCCACACTGAATCATAATGTGGATTCAGGAATGGATTCAGATCTGCCCATCAAAAGGCAGGAAACAAAGCCCAAACTAAACCCGAGAGGAAGAGACTGCCCCATGAAGAATGGCGTTTAATTGCCATGCGAGGGGGACTTCCCTGTACCAAACCACTTCCTGCACGAGGAGCTGCTTTACCAACATTACCGAAACCCACGGCAGCGCGTCCCCGGAGCACAGCATGCCCGTAGGGTACCCAACCCATCACCACTGCCTTTGCCAGTTCCCTGGGGAAAGGCAGAGCTGAGAAACAGAGGGACCACAAGACTGCTCCGTCGGGTGATCAGAAACGAGCAGCAGGAACGCACCACCGCGATGGAGGGGTCGAGCTCGGCAATGCTCATCCTGCAGGGAGGGTGCTGGCAGTGGAAGCTTTCGTCAGGGAGACAGCCGCTGTCGTTGGGCTCCACTGCAGGCTGCGTAGTGTGGGGATCCAGGTAAATGAGTTCCTCACCTGGACAGAGAGGCAAGGAGACATGATGAGGAAGAACCATGCCAGAAGATGGTCTTCTGAGAAGCAAACGGTGAGATACAAAGAGGAGGAGGAGCAGTGACAGAGCCAGCTCTCGAAACCCCACGTAGGAACCCACGTTCAATAGGGGCGACTTGCTTTCAGCCACTTTCCCAAATGCTTCTCATCCAGGCAAAGAGCCAGCTGCCAGCACAACCACGGTGCCTGCTCCACAGCGACCCACTGGGCTCAAGGCACAGGCTCTATTTGGGTACTGTTCCTGCAGAAGCATTCCGGGGTCCTGCGTAAGCTCAAGTTGGCCCCAGGAATCCAAAGTGCAACCAGATTTCAGGCAGAAAGAGAAAATCAGAGGGAAGGAGGAGAGTAAAAGGACAACAGTTTGTAGGGCTTCAGGAAAGGGACAACTAAAGGACAGTTAAATCCAGCCAAGACCCTGAAGGGAGGTCAGCGCTGAACCTAGGGACGAACCTTTACGCACGCCTCTTTACAGGCAGGATTTAGTGTTACGCAGTGTAAGTTTATGGCCCATACTACAGCCACTGTTCAAAGCTACACCACTCAGGTCAGAAAGATGTTCAGTCCACAGCAGCCTTCCACGCAGGAAAGAGGGACCCTGCAGCACGCACCAGAGACCAAGCAGGAGAGCTGTACCACTCCACAGGCATTTTTTAACTGGGGGGAGACACTTGGAAAGTCTTTGCAGTACTCTGGGCACTCACCTACATAGCCAATGAAGTAGTGAGCACTGTTTGGTTTCCCTCCGATCACTCCCAGCGACTGGGGCATCATGAAGCAGTGCTGGAAAAGCAATACAGAAAACACACAGCTGACAGACAGTGAGACAGCAGGTGGCAACAAAGGCAAACATCCAGAAGTGCAGTGGGAAAGAAAGATGGGCACACTGAAAATCAGCAGAAACAGCCATTTCTGGAGAGAAGCTCCACCAGGAAGGCTGAAGGCTGCAACACAGGGCCTTTGAGGAACACAGAAGCAGCTCAAAAACACCTTTAGCTGCTGACAGGAACAGATGGGTGGACCAAATGGAAGAAGCAGCACTACTCCAGGACTCAGTCCGCGCAAGTCCTGACTCTGCTGCAGTCAATGGCACAATCCCCTGGAGCTGTCATCAGGTTGTAACAGTGCTCTTGGGAGGAAACAATCATTCAGGAAACAGTTTAAGCTCCTTATCCAGCTACAGCATCCAGTCACCACCTTAACTCAGTTAAGGGCAAGTAACCTCGCTTGAATTTGGGGCTCTCTTGCCCGCGTAGCTCAGAGCTTGCTAGCATTAGGACAGCAAGACAACACACACCCTGTCTTGTGCCTGTACTCTGCACACCCTAAATCCTGCAGCCTCCTGATACTCCAACCTGCAACCCTCTGCCAGCTTCTAGCCTCAGTCTGCAGGACAAGCTCCAGCATCAGAGCTGCAGGGAGTTTGCAACACCACATTCGCTAATGCTCGGGTTCCCACCAAGCACAGCATAGTTGTGTGGAACAAATGCTTCAGCAGGTTGGTACCATCTAAACACAAAGAGGGACCGAGATTAAGTCGTGAAGTAAGATCCTCAAAAAAACCCCGAACACCAGAGCCCACAATCCCCCAAAAGCCCCACACATTTTCCTGACTAAAGCCTGCGCGAACCCGTATCCTGACCTCTGACAAGGATTGTTTCTAAACGCATTTTTCTGTTGAAAATAGGACAATTATTTCTGAGTATTTTCACCCCAAAACCAAATCCCAGAAATTACTTCATTCACAACAGGGTCCTTCATCATCAGAACACCAAGAATTCAGCTCCAGGTCCCCTACCTTTAGTGTTTCAATATAGGCTTCATTGATCTCTGTGAGCCCAAGGCGGAGAGGTATCAGCAGCACCAATGGTTTCCACAGGGAGAGCCTATCTCTAACCCCCGCTTCCTCTGGGTACCCGTTATAGAGTACGTCTGACTCCAGAGCAGGGCATGCTGCAGCTCCAGCACACGGGAAGTTGGACTGGCACAACCGCCCTACAGAAAGGGAACATGAGCAGAAAGCATCAGAAATAACCTCCGTTTCTAGACCTTGAGTAATTCTAGTTGAGCTCTGATCAACAATTGCTATTTCCTAAAAGCCTACGGCACTTATCAAAAAGAAAAGCTTTAAGAGGTCCAGTGCTGGGACCGTGTGAGATACATACTCCCTGGAGGGCTGCTGGTAGGGCTCAGCGTTTTATTTAAGCTTACATCAAGATTACGCCAAAGCACGCTGTACTCACAGCCACCATCTGGTGGGCTGTTAAAATGCAAATTCTTCCAGCGGGTGAGCAGCTAAGCAACAACCTGTGCCAACAAGGTTGAACGACTTGATTAGGAGGTCAGGCAAGAGTCCTGAATTCAGAGACCGTGTAGGAAGAAAGAGAAAAAATCTGGGGTGTTCAACTCCGGGGGAGTTCATGGAGGATATGGAGACAAACTGAATGAGGAAAGCGCTACGGCTTAACACAGGAAACATTCCCCTGTAATTAGCGCTGTAACAACATACAAACACGGTGTCTGCCTGGAGCAGTTGTAGTTTTCCTAAAGTTCACTAAAGCCTTCAGAAATTTTAATTGGGGACCATTTCGAAGCTACTTTAGAGACCTAAAGCAGGATGATCATTACACTCTGCAATTTCAGTATGGGTTTTGGCTCCAAAGACACGGGGCAGTAAAACTCCTCGGGGCATACGCTTGACATAAGCGCTACGCATCCTCATTCTACAGGCTTGACAAACACACGGCCAGGCTGCAATGCAACCACATTATGTAAATGCCGGTACAGAAACACCTCCAAGCCTACCTGTCTCACTGGCCAATTTCGTTACTTCCTGGGTGTGCGAAGACAAAACCCAAACCCCAAAGAAACCCACAGCACTTTAATCATGAAGCCAAGGCAATTAGACAAAATGCCAGAGGCTCATTTAATTTATTCCTGGCCTAAGCTGAATGCCAGGACACTCTGGCAGGTAGGACACAATGTAAACAAACACCTTCATCCCCCAGCCATTTCAGCACATCCTGCGCTGCGATATGAACATATTTAAGCCAAGTTCAAGCAGCAGGGAGCTCGGCACAGACTAAATTCACCTTGCTGCTTTGGCAGGCTTTGCAGCGCCGTGGTGCCCCAGCACAGCAGAGCCTGCCCAAAGCTTCCCAGCTGGATCCAAACCATTTACCGCAAACGTATTCCTACTGACCTGCCACAACGCCTCCCTCGCTACGACTGTCAGGTACCGGCTTTGCTGTCTGGGTTTCTCACCACCCTTCTGATGTGCGGGACCCTCCAAAGCCCAACCAAGAGCCCCTCTCTGATACAACAGACTGACTCGGAAGGGATAAGGATGGATGTTTCCTCACTGCTGTAGCAAAAGGCATCTCCTATGAACCTTCAGCTGAACAGTATTTGACAGATGCATGAAACAGCATTAACTTCTGAATGCTTTGCTATCGACAGATGTTTGGGGCACAGGATGTATCACACACACCTACAGACATGTAACACATCAGACCCACTCCTCAGCGACTTCCAGGCCCTGAACAGGTACATTACGATTCACATTTGAGGAAAATAAACAAACACCCCCTGCACATCACAAGCTGTATGGACACATTACTTGAAGCAGTGTGCAGTGCTAAACAGCCAGCGCCACACAGACAAGAGCCTGCAGCATGCCCAAGCCTCGCAGCCAGGGTGCTTCAGTTCTAGAAGTAATGTTTTCAGACTAAAGATGAAAGATAAATCCAATTTCTGTCTTCACGCTGGCCCTTGTTTAAGCCAAGGGCATCAGCGCATACCTTCACAGGACTACGTGTACCTGAGGTTAGACAGGCACCTCCCAATCAGATCCTGCATTTCTCAGCCTCTCAATTGAGGCTATCCAGTAAGAGATGTGACTTTGTGAAGTGACTGTCCTGCACTCTAGGGACAAATTGCCTGTTAACTGATTTTGGCTCAGTGCCAGCCGAAGCCAGCCTAAATGATGCTCGCCATGATCTCACCCCATAACCTCGCACCAGCTCCAGCACTCAGTGGACTGTTCTACATGCTGTTTCGGAACACTAACCTGGCAGAAAACATCGCACGGTTTCGTGCTGTGTAAGCGTACTGCCTCATGAGTTAGTCTAAAGCAAGCGAGGGGAAGGCTTGTGTGGCCAGGACCATGCAGGACTGCAGCAACCAGCAATGCAGGCGTTTAGCTTTGGTTACTGCAGCGCTGCAGCCTGAGCAAGCATGCTAGGGATGCACACATCACACAGCTGCGCGGCCTCCAGAGCCATCCTATTGTTAGGACGCACCAAAAGGAGATAAAAAAAAAAAAGAAAAAGAAACAATCAGTGAGCATTCCTTAGAAGATGATGAGAGATCCGCTTCAGAGATGGATTCCCTTCTTCTCCCACCCCTGCCAATTTTGTTCATTTTCCTCTTCAGCGATCTGTTCCAGTTTTATTACTCTGCCTAATAGCAGAGATATTCCTACCCCATTACACGAGAGAGGAAGCAACCACGTACTGCTTGCTACCTGTGGCCATAAACAAGTTTGACACTACCTTCCGCGCAGCTCCCGCCTATTGTCTGAAGGTCACCTCTCCAGACCCAGAGGCCACAACACCAAGTCAGAGGCTTTATTAGATCCAGGAAAAGTGAAATAAGGGGCTTCCTTGCCCTGGAAAGCAATTCTCATCTGGTTTTAGCACACCTGGCCACAACTTTAAGACAGAGCATTGACTTCATGCTTGTTGTGTTGTACTACTATATGCTCTCCAGTTTTTTTTCTGGCTTCTTGCTGCCAGAGGACATACTACATTCTATCTCCATGGGATACTTACGGATTTCTTCCATCACTACTGTGTTGTCCATGGCTATGTGGACTGCCAGCGAGCTCCACGTATCAAAAGTTGCAAGTTTTCTATAGGAAAATTTAAAAAAAAAAAAAAAAAGTAAGGATTAGTTACAACTACAAGACAAAGAGACGGTGTTGTACCAAAGAGGAGAAACTGGATTAGGAGAGATTTGCTTTCATCAATTATGCTGTAAAGTACGCTTTTATACACGTATCAGAGTTGTAGACTTCATTGCCGCTAGTTGTTATGGCCGGAAGAACAAACAAGATTGCAAACGGGACCACGCCTGGAAATTTGTCCCTCAGCAGCTACTACGTACAAAAGCCCTGATACAACCTCCAACTCAAACCCATTAACTGCTGGTTACCAGAAGGCAAGACAGCATAGAAAATAAATAATAATAAATGAAAAAAAAAATTTTTTTACTTTCTGTAGATATCTCCTGATCACCTATACCAGATCCTGGGCTAATTCAGCATACGGTCTGACCTGGGAAAGCTGCTCATAGGCAATCCTGGCCTGTTCCAGGGAACTACCTGCTCATCTAATCAAAGTGAGGGAAGAATGGTGACAGGAGGGAGAATGTTTCTCAAAATACAGTGTGTCCCAGTTATTAAAGGCAATTCATGCTCCAGCACTGCTCTCATCCTCTGCCTGTCACCATGGAACCTGGGCAGCAAATATTAATGCTTTCCTCTGTGAATTAGTGACTCGATGGCTCGTTGACGGCTTTTTGATAACGATGACACTGTTGTCAGGTCAGCAGAAGTGACTCAGAGGCTAGCAGAGATCCAAACAACGGCAACGATCATCTGCTCTGACACTTGCTCCTGGTTCGCTGCAGAGTATTGCACATTACTTGTGGAGAGAGATTTTTAGGGATTGTCCTCAACTTGAAATCTGTTTCCTCGCACATCCTGCCAGCATCTGAATAACAGACAGGCTCCTTCCTTCCAAGTTCCTGCCCACGCGGATCGATAAAGTCAAGGTTGTCTGCTAACAGCATTAAACCAAACAGTTGTGCTTCAGTCAACAGGCAGAAACCTGTAGGCTAGGAGGTACTGCAGACCAAATGACCCCACTGCTTGGTTTGACAGATATAAAGGAAAAAGACAGCACTTACTTGAGCACTTGTGCGACTGTGTTTGGTCCATACCACTGACCTATGGATTTTCCCTCTCCAACTCCCATCTGGGCTACATCACAAGAAAAAAATGAAGTAATTTAGCAGATGATTTCACCTACACTGCATTCCTTCCTAATCAGAGTTTGTGTTTAATAGGGATGAAATCTCACTTGGAAACATTTTTGAGTCAGCAGAATCTACCCCTTCCTGGAGTTTCCTGTAGGGAACAGGCTGTTTCTCGTTTATTTGCCAGAGAAGTCGGTATCAAAGTGAGATCCTTCCTTAGCCCATTTGCTACTTCTCAGAATTTCTTCACCCAGCAATCTCATATTACAAGGCCCTAGTGAGAACAGCAACCACGTGCGTTCCTCTCACCTTGGCTCGCTAGGATACGGAAAGCGATGCCAAACATAACCTAAAGCATTCAGCAAACCTGGAAGTCTTAATGGACTCAACAAGAAAAATCCATCATAATCCATAATAAAGTGTGGTAGTTTTACATCACGTCAAAAAACAAGCAGCGTGGTATTATGCACTAGCCAACGCGCTAGGTTGTTGGTGGGTTGTTTTTTGGGTTTTTTTTTTTAGCTAAGCTACTGAAATAAACTTGGAATGATGTTCTGCAAGCATGGGAAACCCGGACTGAATATCCCCACGCTCTTCAGCGCCCAGCACTCTTACCTATCTGGTGAATGGAGTAGTAGCTGTCTTTTTTGTCAATGAAGGCATTAAGAACACTGAAGTAATTATCCATCTGCCTCTTCCCTTTTATCCACCTCCAGTCTAAGACAGACAAGGGGATATATGAAACAAAACATGATATTTATTAGCAACTAGAGACCACAAGCTACAATTCTCTTCCCTGCACATCAATCAGCTGACCCGATTTTCATGTTGCTGTCTTATTACCAAGCATCTGAGGCACTCCCAGCACTAAAGGATTAATTTTAAAAGAAAAGTAAACTTTGTCACAGCTGGGATAAAGGAATATCATCCACAGAAAACAACAAATAACCAATCAGAAAACACAAATTGTATCTCTATCCCACAGATGGGAAATAGGATTATAATTTCTCATTGACAGATGTGAGCTACATATTCTGGGGAAAAAAAAAACAAAACAAGTGACCTCACTACAAAATGGTCAAAAACCCCTCTGGTACAGCTGCTCACAGACCAAGCATGGGTCAAGCGCAAGAACAGAAGTATTCAGGGAGAGGAGACTACACTCTGTGAGGGCTTTGTGACAGAACTGAACTATAAACAAGAATCAATCTACAAAGCTGGTTTAAACTTCAACTATATAATAAATCCTTCAAGAAAAATCTAGCACGTGCTTGGCTTCAGTGGATTTAGCTAGCATGTTACAGGGCTCTGCTTTGTTTTAAGGCTATATATATCTATCTAGGTAGAGTTGTAGACAGCAGGGAAAAACCTGCTGGAGGGTTTCTGTTCTCTCAACAGCCCTGAACTTGAGAAGACTGAAGAAAAAAGTTATAGAGCCCTCAGTAATTCCAAGCTGTGCCCTTGTTATCTGCTGCCCTTACAAGTACTGCACTTGTGGGAGCACAGGGCCCTGGAAGTCAGTACGGGCTGTGCACTGGTTTACCTCTTCCCAAATGCCGGCAGACCAAGGCCTGAGCAAAGATCATCTGGCCACACCGCAACATACAGCCCCAGCCAGTATCAGACGTGGGACCGGTTCCTCCTGTAAACGAGGACAGAAAATAAATATGGAATGAATAGTAAAACAGTGCCAAGAGGTAGAAGAAATGAAAGCACTAGAGTCTGCACGGGGTGGCAGGTTCACCCAAGAAACCAGGCAGGGAATAAGGAAATATAGTTATCTTTGAGTAACTTAGTGGTATCCCTGAAAAACAAACAAACAAAACCCTCTAACGCTAACTGAAAGAGAAAAAAACCTCAAAGGGAAATCCAAACAACTCGACTAGAAAGACAGCTGAATTTCTCAGGAGCACAACAGCCCTGCAGCCTAGTTGCAGACTCCCAGCCCAATTCAGAGACACTTTTCTACACGGAGGTGCTTGTTACAGGCAACTTCTTGTAATCCTCATCTTGAGGAGGCAACTCATCATGCAAAACAGATCAGTCCCAAGGAAATCCCACATCATAAGCAGCTATGACTGGATGAGATTCCAAAATGAACAACATAGGCCAAAAAAACCCCAAAAACCTACCAGCCAAAAAACCCCGAACAACCAAAACACCCCAGCAACGAAAAAACCCACATCCTACATAATACTGCAGAATAAGCTGGATATTAGCTCACACTGGAAAGTCTGAGACAAAGACCTCAAGGCTGGAAGCATTTCCCTGACAGAACTTCAAAAGAAAACTGCTGCTCCTCCACTGAAGCTCTGGCTATTATTACAAGCTTCACAGATAAAACGTTTAGTGTGACCACAGCAAGTGAGCTGTCTTACAAGCACGCAGTCAGCTGCGCCTTAGCACAGCCAGTAGAAGTAGTTTCTTTGTAATGCTGCTTTCTTCTTTCGCTCCTATGCAACTACTCTGCATGAAAAGCACAGGGAGAGAAATCACCCCCAAAGAACTAATTAATCAACTTCTGGAAGGCCAGCAGCTATCTTCTCTAATTTTGCTAGCAATTTATAACATATGCAACATCCAAAATTGACAATGCTTTACAAAATGAGCATAACACATTCCCTTTACTCTCTGAAGAGCTTAAAATATTTAAGTGGGCAAGCACAGAGGGCAGTGGCCAACAATAAAAGGGATGACTGGGAGAAGAGACTGGGAGAAAAGGATTACTGTATGACATGCAAACTGTAGCTGTACTGTAACTGGGAAATGACTCAGAAACTGGGGTTTCTTCCCGCCCCTCACCTTTTAACAACTCACACAGAAACCCCAGTCACGTTTGTGAGCCATAGTTAATCACATGCTAACCCTTCAATGTCAAACGTGTGTTTAGCTATGGCTCACAAACGTGAATTTAAAGGGATTAAACTGCATCAAAGATGTCTCACAGCTTGTTAGGCAAAGGGTTTCCCAGTAGGGCAAGAACAGAAAAAGCCAGAAGGCTTAGCTGCCAAGAAGTCTCCTCCAAATCTGAGCACTGTCCCCATCAACCACTGGGGATGACATTGACAGTGGGAACAGGGATGGGGCTTGGAATCCCACTTACCTGCTCTCAGGTCTCTTCTGATACACCTTCCACCCGGCACACAAAACCAAACCACAGAAGAGACCATGCAGAATATCTTAAGGAATCAAGACATCCTTCTTCAAGTTCACGGGGAAACATTCCCCATATTACTACAGTTCCTGTGTGTAACAGCCACTTCAAGCATTTAACTCCCCCCCCCCAAACTAAAACCTCACATATTAGTCTAGAGCAGATGCACAAAGGCAGTAATTTTAATCCACTTTAATCTGCTTTGAGCCCAAGACTATCTTTAAAAAAGATTTCACATTAGGCTTGTGTAGGACCTAATGAACATGAAGTACAAAAATCCTTCCATGATTTTTCTAGGTAGGCTTCCCAAACTCTTTCTTGCATCCTTTTAAAAAAAAAAATCACTGTTATCCCTCGTACCCAAGGGCACAAGGAATTCTCATTATCAAATAAACAAAAAAGTCTATCCTACCAATGAAATGAAGTGCATTTCAGATTCTTATAAACAGAAGTGCATTAATGTTATGCTTGTGGGGATGGTTTTATTAGGTAGAGATAACTGGGTTATCATCATTTCCAGGCTGTACTTGGACTCGTCCACAGTACGTACCGATAGCAGGGAAGTTCTTTCTGTAGGTGAACCAAAGCCGAGAGGTCACATCCAACAGGATCTCTTCTTTCTCTGAAAAAATTCAGCATCGAAAGGCATGCACATGAGGGTAGCAGCAAAACATGGCTAAATCCACCTCCCACCCACCTTCCCTCATGACAACAGCATCCTGCTCCTCACTTAGACTGTGTGCCCAGAGAGGCAAAATGTGCCTGAGGAACAGGGCCACTGTGCACAAGAAACTTTCTTTTTCCCCTGAAATAGCTGCAATCAACCCAAAAATGCCACGGCCTTAGTCAAATTATGAAGCAGTAATCCATTTTCTTGCCTTTCCCGAGCTATCCCCTTGCCTCAACCATCCTGGCCTCATGCCACAAGTCCCAGTAACCACTAAACAGTAACTTTCTGCACAAAAATATTCCAGAGTCCACAGAGATGGCCAGACAGAAGCATGGCACTTACGGTCTGCATGCTCTGCCAGCTAACAGACTCTGCAGCGTGCTTACACGGTTTGCAGTCACCTTGCTGCTCAGAAAGCCAAGTGCAACCCTACTCGAGTCCTCTGGAGCATTACAGCATGTTGCATCGTGCATGTAAAATACCTGTAAAAACACTGTATTTCCGGCCAAGGATCCAAACGGGTTCTTTGGTCTCAGGGAAGTCTTCATATTCGAACCTGAGAGTATCATAGGTAAGAGTAGCTATAAAGAGACAGAAAAAAATTATATAGCTTTCATAACTTTTCCTTGTGTTTTAAAAATCATACAAAACTACAGAATCAGAGCTGCTGCGGCCCAGCAGCTTACACCCTCAGAGCACCTGGCTCTAGCTGGCAAGAAACGGTACGGCTGCCCCTGCAACCACCACCTCTGGAAGGCACGGAGAGCTGATGCAGCCCTGGCTCACTCCTGGCTGCTCTGCAAGCAGAAAAGCGGAGGGATTTCCAGGTTAGGTCAGCTCCAGGTTCTGCCCGGTGCAGAAAACGGTCAAAAAAAACCATCTAGGACTCTGTTTCCCAGAACAGGCACCATCGTGTGTGCCATCAGCAACGACACCAAGGTCCTCTCTTCAAGTGAGCAAAGCGGTTGAAGTTCTTCTTCCAGAGAATGTATTTTTTGGTGGCGGAACACCAAAAGCACAGATCACATTAAGATGGGAACTAAATCTTGCTCTGCAAGTCAGTCCCTCCTCAAGAGGCAACAAACCCAGCAGAAGTCATCACCTGCACTGAAAAACCAGCCTACAGCTCCAAGAGGGGTGATGTCACACTAAAACCTGAGGAACGCCGAGATGTACATGGTCACAGGCGATGGACAAACCTCGTGCCTGTTTTACTGGCTCCCGTCACAGCACGGCATCCGCCAGTGATATCTACCTCCTCTTACCCGACCACTGCAAAACCACTCAGCAGCATAGGCTGCCCTTGGATCAGGGCAGCTTAAGGTTTTGTGCAACAGGCACAGGCAATGGGGAGGGAACAAAACACAACAAAAAAAAAAAAAAAAAAAAAAAAAGAGTTGGATGAACTGGGCTCCACCAGGTCTGTGTTTCGAAATCAGGCACTTTAAAGTGGTCTGGGAACACTGGCAATGCACCATTGAATTTTGTAGGTGTCAATTCTTTAACAAACCATCTACAAAATTTAAAGCAGAACTAAGCCAGACTGTTCTGTAACTGTTTAAGCGGCTACTGAAAATATCTCTCACAGCAAACCAATAAAATCTGCAGTAACATGACACGAGTTTAAATAGGGCAACAGACTGAACAACCACAAGCTCCTCTCAGCCCCGCTTTCTATGCTCCGTGGTGCACACCTCACTTCTTGCTTACCAGGAGGGTCACCGGCTGCTTTTGTCTACACAGAAGACCTTCTCACAAGTAGAAGATGTTCGCAGATGAGCTTTCCTCCCAATCATTCCCTGCTTAGCTTTCCAAAGCATCATCTGGAGCACCAGTAAATAATGACTTGGCTGATTTGCATCAAGTAAACTCCAGCGAGTCACTGCAAGGTTCTGCTCCCCCTCCTTCCGACATCTAGAATACTCCACGTTCTGCTAGGGCAAACAAGCTACGCAAGACATTTTGGTACCTCATCAGCCTTCTACCCCTGGGCTCTCTGACCAGAAATTCCAATTCCAAATGTCAAAGAAAATACATCAGTAGCAGCAGCAAGACACCATCACTAAGACGAGCTACTGTTTCAAGCAATAGTGATGAAAATAGGCTCCTAAATCAAATTTTGAATAGACTCTGGACCTAACCCTAGCCCAAAAGATTTAAGTCACATTCATTGTGTGAATTAGGCTATACATTGTTTCAGGCACCTTTAGGATAGCACGGGCCACATGTTCCCATTCCCATCCCATGATGTGGCTTCCCACCAGCCAGCTAAGCAAAGCAATTCTGCTTGCACAGAAAAGTTGCAGCACATGAATGCAGTCTTTTCCTCTAACACACTTTATCACTGAAATTAGGAATTTCTTTAAATGTACTAGCCAAACTTTCCGGATCCCCAGCAGTCCATGCTTTCTGTGTCTATCTTCACTTAATAACTTGGCTTGCTTTGCCCTCTCTCTTGCTCAGCATGGAGATTTCTTTCCAGGGAAGGAAGCAACGTGACTTCTGCAGATGTTTTCAAGTGTGCATCATTTTCCACTTTCTCCCTCAATTTGCAGAAGTTTCCCTTTGGGATGAGGCATTACAAGTTTATTCTGACAGCTCACTGGGAGCCTAGTCATTCAGATTTTGTAAAATTCAGTGCGTTACCAAATACAATCTTAACATAAAAACTGAAGTGCTCATGTTTTAAAGCTCTGAGGAGGATTTTGTGGTTTATTTTGTCAGCTCTCAAGCTCGCCACGAGTCCAGCTCTCTGTCGAGAGTCTCAGATAGCTTAAATACGATGACTGAAACAAGGATGACAGAATGACAAAGTGAGAGAAACAATCACGCCACCTACCCAGCCCTCCTTCCCCTTCCTAGTGACGCTTCCTGGCCTTCTCAGACGTCGCACCCTCTGCGGCTCCACGTTTCACAGGGCGCCAGGTCCTTAGCAAGCACGGAATTTACAACCGGCAGCTTCACAGCAAGGATCTGCTGAAGTCTTCGCCCCTCGATCAGAGCTGGGAGAGGAAGGGGTCAGCAGGCGGGAGGGATTCCCAGGCTGCCTGCTGGACCGGCTGCGTATTCAGGGAATGCAGCACACGCAACATGCCATGACACTGCACATTCAGGAGGAGAGTCCCAGGCTGGCAGTCCTGCAGCTGAACGCCCGACATCTGGGCTCTGTGCAAAGCTCCCGTGGGTCCGGCCGCCTCCGAAACATGCGGTCAGACATTAGTGTAAATGTTGGGGGTTTTTGGAAGGAAATACTTGCCACCATGTGAAAAGGCACAGCTTCTAAATGCAAGGAGTTAAGGTTTCACCTTCGCAGTGAGGAAAATTCAAGTGATTGCTCCGAGTTAATATCAGCAATTTTATAATGGGAGCAATAAACTCCCCACGAGGCTTGAAGCCACTACGTGCTTCCCTCACAAACATCTACCTTCACACGCTCTGGCACTTTTTCAATACTATATACATTGTGCTATTGCCCAGATGAGATAAATATGTGCAAGCGGGACCCAAACAATTCAGGCAAGGGTACAAAGAGTGTCAGAGCTTGCACGCGAGTCTTTCTCTCTCCCTTAGAGGCAAAAGGTCTGAAAATAAATAAAACTGGAAATTCACCAAGCAGAAATCCTATTTGAAGACGCTCCTTTCAGAGCTGCAAAAGCTGAGTGAGATCAGCAAATTTCTCAGGCAGCGCTCCAAAACTTCACCTTCAAGAAGCCCTCAATCTATTTTAAATACCGACCTCTGAGCATCCAGGACAGCAGCGCAGCAGCCTTTGCAGAATATCCAAGCACACAAATACGACAGTTCAACTTCTTTCCGTGCACAGTGGATTTACAGTTAAAAAGCCGAGAGTTTCAGCCCTGCAAAGCAGACCCTCAGAAAGACAGCCTCGCTTTTCAGGAGCCTCAGGCACGCTGTGAAGAACGCCAGGTTGGCTGGATCCCTGCGCCATGTGCACACTTAGCACAGGGTCTGGCTGTCCCACAACAGCTTCTCACCCCACACCCTCCCTAGAAAGCCCCGACGGAAGAGGCAAAACTTTGTACGCACCACTACAGAAAACACCTGTGTTAGCCTAGGTAAAGGGATTCAAACTAAAACCGCATTAAATGCCAGCATGAAGCCTGAACGTTTGAGTTCTCGTCTACTTTTGTGCGTGTGGTTAGATCTACTCAGTTATAAGATAACAGGCCACATCACAAAAGCCTGCCTTGTACGAAGCGCAGGGAGCAGACCCTTGATGCGCCCACAGCATCGGCGGCTTTTAATATCAGTTTTACCAAACAGAAAGATGCAAAGCGGCACACGAGGATGTGCAAGATTATCGCAAAGCTACGTAGCATCATCTTGACATAGATCAAGAAAAACTGTCTCAATACATGCAATGAGGGTAGAGGGTGAAATCTTGCTTCCCTTCTTATGCTCTTAAGTTGTACAATGAAAAAGCCGAGCTAAAAACGTTATCCCAACTTGTAATTAGCTCCCACAAGCACAGAAGCACAGCCAGGCGCCAGGGAGCAGACCCTGACTGGTGAAGCCAGTTTGCAAATATGCTGAAGGCAAGATACGTGCTTACGGCAAGTATCAAGCCCTTGACAGCCACTAACTTTACCTGCTTTACCAAAACCAAAGCTACTTGGTTTTCTATCAACTTTGGGAAACAAGTAACAACAAGTCAAAACTTTGATGACTCAGGTAGAAATATGGCAAGTGACATTCACTCCAGCATCAATCACCCTGGTTACAGTTCGCCTGCACAGCTCCGTTTAGTCGAAAAACTTTTCATACAAAATACTGAAGCAGAGATTTGGAGCATCACACTGACAGAAAACCAAGCTCTGCAATACCTCCCTTCCCAAATTGCTTCTTGGGCTTCTAGTCTCTCCCTCCGACACAGTAACGCTCCTCAGGCAGTGCCTGCGTTGGCTTAGAGACATTTCCCCCCCCTCCCCGAGTCCTTCAGCCTCCAATTAACATCACCACAAAAGAATCAGAAATGGGGTGGACGACCATCTCCCTCGGCTGATAAGGGTACACCCAAGAGAGCGGAGAGGAAGAATGCTACTGGATGTAGGATGTTTCAAAAGAGTCAAGAAGAGAAGGTAAATTTATTGTGTTAGTAAAGCTCGTTGCCAAAAAACCAGCTAGAAAACATAAGAACAGCCTGAACCCTTATTTCTAGCCTTTGCAGAAGAAAGATGGAGTCTTTTCTTTCCTCTAAGCTCTTTCAAACAAGAAAAATCCTGATTATCTAAGTAACGACGAGGAGTTGAGAGACAAAGAAAGAAAGTCACTCAACGGGAGACCGATGCCTTCTTGGAGGCCCAGGGCAAACCGTTCAAAGCCTGCCTGTCAGGTCCCCGACCATCTCGGGAGCAGGGCTGGACATGAAGCAGCTTGAGCTCTCGTTGCTCCACAGCCCAGAGACTGAACTCCTCTTTGCCCTACTGTCTCTCACAGCGAGATTTTTCTTCCCTTGATAAGCCTTCTAACGCTTACACAAAGGGAAAGCAAACACGTCTCCCGGCTCAGGTTGTGTAATTTCACTTGCTGGAATGCGTTTTGTTCCCAGACGCGAGAGACG